AGAGAGAGAGCACGTGCAGATGCGTGCTGCGAAATCACGGTGTGCGTTTTTATCCATGGCCATGACAGAACTAGAAACTGACCCAGTTGCAGGGGCTTGCACCCATGTGTGATGTCAGGATGCGCAGCGGCAGCTCCATTCACGAGCCTTCAACAAGGCGGGCGGATCGGTAGAGTGTGGTCCGGTATCGTGAAATATCATAGTTCATTTAATGACCCGCTAAATCCTCATTCATTGCTTATTATCAGCTGCCTCTCGTTGTCATTTAAAAACAGCTCACTTATCGCTCGCCGTTCAATATCTCTTTTCAGGTCAATTAAAATCATTCTATTGTTTATCGAAATTATTTTTACCATTGATTTGAATGTTATCTCTTGCGTTTAACTTTATCTTGCCGTTGTTTCTTTCTTATCGTCGATACTTTTATTGCTTATATGTATAACTTTCGTCGTTGATACTTTGTACTGTCTTGTAGTGTCTATACGTGACTTCCTTTATTTCGCTCGACGGGTTTTATTTTACGATAATAGTATAAGCTGCTTTTATCATTTTCTCTATTATTTTATACAGAACAGTTTTCATAGAACAAGTTTGTTATTCGCAAATATTCCTGCTATCAAACGCAATCTAACATTATTGTTGTACTACGAACGGCAGAATGTTGAGCTAACTATTCAAACTATCAGATTTACTGCCTCTCATTTATTCTCCGTTGTCTATCTCATTGTTAGTTAAAAATAGCTCGCAGCGTTAAATAATTTCTATTATTAGATTAATTAAAATTATTTTGCTTATTCTACAAGTCAGTCAAAATTAAATTAAATTAAAAGTTTTGTATATTTATTGCAAAATTTAAATACATATCTATTGTATAATTTGTTCAATTTGAATGTTTAATTTATATATTTAATTTTGTATATTATTAATTCCTGTCTCTCGATATCTTTGCTATTTATATTTCTATCATTTTGCAGTGTTTATATGATTTTCTTCGCCCATTCTGATGGATTATATTTTAGGATAATATTATATATATATAAGCTACTTTCTTCATTTTTTTAAATCATGTTGCGGAAATGATATAATCGACGAGTTTATTATAGAACGGTATATTGTAGTTCGCAAATGTTAGTATGGCCAAACTCAATTTAACATTCTCATTGTACTACGCACGAGAGAATGCCAAACGTGATAATCGAATTTCAACTCCCGCGATAATTAATCTACCATGTGAATAAAAGTACGTCAAACTTCTCGAAATCCCATGCTGGTCTCCTCTCCCCATTTTCCTCCCCAGGCCTGGCCAGTACGTTTTATCAGTCTCGCAGGATTATCTCGCTTTCACCGAAAAGCCCATTGGTCATCGTGGTACGCAACGCGGTTTTCCACGGAATAGACGCAGCTTCCGACTCGGAACTGTACGTCGGATTGTCGACCCTACGTCGACCCTTCTCGCTTCCTCTCTTCCCCTACTTCTTGTGCACTGTGTCTTTGGCCCAGTTTTCCCATTGGCGTAGTGACGTCATTCACGTCATTGAGAAGGCCACTGACAACGCGTCCCAGTTCCCGCCACCGCGGCAGTTTCACCGCCACGCAGCGCGGAACTCGGTCGGAGGTTTAATCCTTCGTAGCCCTCGACTCTTTATCGCGGCCGATCCTATGGATTTCTCAACCCTTACGCCGTGCGTCAGGTAGTCATGTACCAGTATGTGACTTTTGATAGCGATTCCTGCAGAGATCACAGCGTCGGCAGCGTCTCGCGAATAAATCGAGACATAACTCTTCCTATGGTATGCGCGAAGTAGATCTTAGATTTCGAAGCTGGAACTTTGCCTTTTAGCTTCTACTTGTACGCAATATGAATAAATAATTATTAGATATCAATTTCAATAATTCGATAATTTTTTTTGGTCTCGAATTCCATCTGCAATGCGAATCGATAGCGCAGTTGTTTCGCGCATAGAAATTTATATAAAATTATATTCGTGTATTATTCACACGAAATTAATTTATTTTGCGGGCAAAAACAGGATTTTTTGTTCACAGAAATGTATGGAAAATTACTTTACATCATGTCTGCGATATAGTTGTTTTCTTTGGACAAAAATATTTTTTTTATTTAGGGAAAGAAACGAGGCGTTCGAAAGGGTTACGCTGTAACCGCCTAGCGCAAGGATGCATATGTTCCGTCTACGTCATAGTAGGGATGCCGGGGCTCAGGCGGGTCGAGTCGATGGATATCGAGTAGAATGGAGAGAGGAGAGGAGATCACAGCCGCCGCATCTCGTCGTCATCGTCCCCTATTCATCCCATCCGCGCCCAGCCAGCCAGCCAGTCGCGTCTGGCGAGAACGAACGCCGATTGAAGTCGAGGGGGTTCGTCGACCCCCCGGGTTCCATCCGCGTTGATGACGCGATCGTTACGTCATGTCGCCATGGCGACGAGCGCTTCTCTCTCTTTCTCTGATCCACGCACACCCGGCGAAAAACTAGAACTTTGACCTGAAATTGGGTCGGCCGACGAATGACACCGGTCAACCCTACGGTACCCCCTTTTCCTCCTCCTCCCACCTGCACCACTGCACTTTTCCGTTCGCCACAGAGGGACGCATGAAGCCAACCCCCACTCCTCCCTTCTCGTTGCACTTTGTCGCATTCTGAATGCAGGTAAAAATTCTGGATGCTGCGGTCCAGATTGTAGGTGCTCATAGATAGCCGCATTGTATGTAGAAGCGTGGAAACTATATTTATTGTCACGCGTCAGTTTTCCAAACTGAAATGACGTGGTGCCTTATTTTTTAAGGGGCTATTTTAAGGGTACTTTAATGGACGTCGCACTTGTTTGATCCTTTATTAGGCATGACCGAATTTGAGATCTATTTTTGACCTCCGTCTTACGTGCGGCGAGTTAAAAGGTTGAGAGGTTAAATCTATTAAGCTGCTCTTTAAAGGAACGGTTCTCTGAATGACGTACCACCTCCGCTAGAATCCGATAGTTTATACTATAAGTGAAATGTTTAAGTAAAATGAGTGCAATGAGTAAATTATAGTGTATGTATACATATGCCAGACTGAAAAAGAGAGAAGTGGAAGCGCTTCAGGATATATCCACACAATCGGAATATAATGTGCTTTTAATATTATTAGTAATACATTACATATTATTAAATAATTTTTAGTATTAATATTATACATAATATGTGCATAAATTATTAATATTTTATGTGTCCATATTTAATGACTAAGGCATTTTTGAAATTATTTATAAATGAGTTTTGTTTCAAATAAAGCTTAGATTTTAACAAGTTTTGAAACATTTAAAATCTAAGATTTATTAAAATAAATACAACTTATATAAAACTAATATTTATTCAAACCGAGATTATTAATTTACCGGGTGCAACACAGGCATGGAATGGAGGGATCATTTAGTTTCAAAATATATTATAAAGTAAATTCGTACTAACAGGGATTCTTAGATGTTTCATCAAAATCAGCAGAATTCTCAGGCTTCTCTTTGATGTCACTGAGATAACTCCAGGATTAAAATCAGATTGACTAAAACAAATATTTATAGACAGCGCGTCAGGGTATCTATTTTCTTACAATACATCTTGAAGGGATAAAGATGACAAAGTTTTCGGCATGTGGCGAACACGTGCCGCAGACGGCACGTGGAGAATCGCAACGCTAAGAATTTTGCTAAGGGTGTTGCTTTAGGAGCAGCAAAGACTTTTCAAAGTAATCCCTTCATTATCGAGATTTCGAGTTCCGTCAAAGCTTCTTGTCGCGATATTGCTCTTTAATAAGTGACGGATCAACGAGATGTGAAG